ACCCCCCCCCCACCACACACACTCCATCCCCCACAAACCAGCCCATCTCCTTCCCCTTTCCCCTTCCTTCCCCTACCAGCATTCCTACCTCCCCCCCCCCTCTCGCCCTGGCAGAAGCCAGCCGAATAGCTGAAAAATCGAATCGAACAAAGCCGGCCCCCATCGCCCTCCCCTCCTTCTCCCCCCACACCCGCAGACTCACACATTGATGGACTTGGAGGGGATACAGGAGTGGTACGAGTGCGCTACGTGTGGGATGAACAACGGGTCTGGTGTGTGTGCCGTGTGCGCTATGCAGTGCCACCGCGGGCACAACCTGTCGGCGCCCAAGCACTCCAAGTTCTACTGCGATTGTGGGGCCGGCGGGTGCCAAGCCATGTCTGGCGGGAAGAAAAAGACCAAGAAGGTGCTGAAGGTCGCAAAGCGGGCACCGGCAAAGCAGCAGTTGCAGCAGCAGCCGCTGGCACTGCGGCAGGTGCAGCAGATGCAGCAGATGGCGGCGCAGCAGCAGAGCCTGGCAGCGCCGATGGCCCAGATGCAGCAGCAGCTGGCGCGCGGGCAGCAGAGCTCGGCGGCGACGGCCAAGCGGTCGGGCGTGTCGTACGAGCCGCGGCCGATGCAACAGGCTGCGCTGCGGGCGGTGAGCCGGGTGGCGGATGCGTCGGCGGTGCCGCGTGCACGGTCGTACGTGCCGAACGACCTGCGCGTGGACGTTAACTCGCCGGTGATCCGGCTGCCGCCCGGGTACTTTGTGCATGTGCTGGACACCAACTCGAACGTGACGCGGGTGCACCAGGGCCCGGCGACGCTGACGACGATGGACCACGAGCAGATTGTGCTTGGCCCGCGGGCAATGATCGTTGTTCCACCTGCACACTACTGCGTGGTGGCGGATCCTGTGGTCCGCGACGACGCCGGTGAGCCAGTGGTCGAGGACGGGCAGTTCAAGGTTGCATTTGGCGAGCGCAAGGTTGTGGTAAGCGGCGAGCCGTTCCTGTTGTACCCGGGCGAGTCGATGGCGAGCGGGGTGACACCGCTGTTTGTGGTGCCCGAAGGCTCTGCGCTGCGGCTGCGGTCGGACCGCGAGTTTACCGACGGCGAGGGCGTGGTGCGGCCTGCGGGCTCGGAGTGGTATGTCCGCGGCCCGCAGACGTACACGCCGCTTGTCGAGGCGACGCCTGTGGAGCTTGTGTACGCGGTTCCACTCGAGCCGACGCAGGCGCTGCGGCTGGCAGCGCGGTCGAACACGGTCGACGCGGGCGGCAAGGCGCGGTCGACTGGCGAGGAATGGCTTGTCCGCAACGAGTTCAGCTACCTGCCTGGCGTGGAGGAGATTGTGCGTGGCATTGTGGATCCGATTGTGCTCTCGCCGACGCAGGCACTGCACATGCGGGCGACGCAGTCGTGCACCGATGGGCTGGGCGTGGCGCGTAAGGCCGGCTCGCAATGGCTGCTGACGCGGGCCGACGCGGCGGCTTACATTCCGGGCGTGTTTGAGCAGGTTGTGGGTGTTGTCGACGCCATTGTACTGATGGCGAACCAGTATGTGGTGGTGGTTGATCCGGTCGATGCCAACGGCGTGCCGCAGCTCGGGCGCGCCGAGGTCCGCCGCGGCGAGGCCTCGTTCTTCCTGCACCCGGGAGAGTCGCTCCACGACGGCATCCAGGAGGTGCAGGTCCTTGGCAAGCAAGAGGCGCTTCTCTGCCGGGCGACCGAGTCGTTTGAGGACGCCGGTGTGGCGGGCGCGGACGAGGCGGGTGCGTCGGGACCGATTGCGCGCGGTGCCGGTGACCGGTGGCTCGTCGAGGGTCCGTGCGAGTACCTCCCGCCTGTGTGCGTGCAGGTCCTCGACCGGCGGTCTGCCATTCCGCTCGACAAGAACGAGGGCATCTACGTCCGCGACTGCTCGTCCGGCGCGGTGCGGTCTGTGACTGGCTCGTCGTACCTGCTCCGCGAGAACGAGGAGCTGTGGGAGAAGGACCTTCCCGAGAGTGTGGAGCAGCTGCTTGTGCGCTACGGCGGCGCGGCGGCACGGGTTAAGCACCGTGTTGTCTCGTTCCGGGTCCCGCACAACGCGGTGGCGCAGATCTACGACTACCGGCGCAAGTCTGCGCGGCTTGTGTTTGGGCCAGGCATGGTGATGCTCGAGCCCGACGAGCAGTTTACGCAGCTGACGCTGTCGGGCGGCAAGCCGAAGCGGTCGGGCGCGATCCGCGACGTCATTCTCCGGCTCGGCCCGGACTACATGACCGACATTCTCAATGTGGAGACGTCGGACCACGCGCGACTCTCGCTCAAGCTCTCGTACTCGTGGCACTTTGACGTCGACCCGGCGGACGAGTCGCCCGAGGGCCTGGCCAAGGCCCGGGCGCTGTTCTCGGTGCCGGACTTTGTTGGTGACGGCTGCAAGGCCATTGCCTCGCGGGTTCGTGGCGTTGTCGCCTCGATTCCGTTTGACCAGTTCCATCGTAACTCGGCAGCCATCATTGCCGAGGCCGTGTTTGGCATCGAGCCGACGAGTGGCAACCTTCGGACCGAGCTCCGGCTGCCGAACAACAACCTGGTCATCGACGCCGTCGACGTGCAGACGGTGGAGCCGGTGGACAAGTCGACGCGCGACTCACTCATGCGCTCGGTCCAGAACGCCATCCAGGACACGACTGACGCCGTCGAGGCCGAGGCCACCAACAAGGCGTCGCAGAAGGAGCAGCAGGCCATGGGTGAGCTGCAGCGGCAGAAGATCCTCGACGACGCCAAGATCGAGGAGGCCCGCCAGAAGCTCCTCGAGCTGCAGGCCGACTCGCGCGCCATCATGACTTCCGGTTCGGCCAAGGCTGAGGCCGAGGCCCGCGCCACCGCCCAGAAGATCACTGCCACCGCAGAGATCGAGCTTGCAGAGCTCCGCGCCACCGCTGCCAACGCGCTCTCCGAGTCGGAACTCGCCCGCATGGCCGCCTACCAGCAGGCTGAAATCGACCACCAGCGCGCCCTCAACGACATTGAGGCCGAGCGCTCCGACAAGCTGGTCAACCTCGAGGTTTCCTCGTTCAAGACCACCGTCGACGCCATCGGAGCAGACGTCCTCACCACCATTGCGCAGGCCGGGCCCGAGATGCAGGCTCAGCTGCTGCAGTCGCTCAACCTCAAGACAACCGTCCTTACCGACGGCACCTCACCCATCAACCTCTTCAACTCGGCCAACGGCCTGGTCGGCGCCGCCTCGTCCGCCGCGTCGGCCTCGGCCTCGGGTTGAAGTCCCAAATGAATGCCCCCGCCCCCCCCCCCCCCCCCCCCCCCCCACCACACACACACACACACACACACGCACACACACTTGTCTCCACACTCTGTGCCATGTCGCGCCGAGCAGGAGCCACCCACCTCGCACAGATCTACGGTACCGAGAGGGACAAGTACGCTCTTGCCCCTGTCTCCCCGTCCCCTTCCCCCTTTCCCTGTGCCCCCGGCTCGCTCTCCACCCCTTACCCCTCACCCCCGTCCACGCAGGGTCAACTGCTCGTTCTACTTCAAGATGGGCGCTTGCCGCCATGGCGATACCTGCAATCGCACACACGTGGCTCCGGCCTTTTCGCAGACTGTCATGCTGCCCAACATGTACATCCCGCCCACCACCCGCGCACAGCTCGCGCGACCGCCTCATCGCAATCTCCCAGACCCACCTCCATCCTCCTCTGCACCCGCGTGCCCACCTGCACCCGCATCAGCATCCACGACGACAGCACCCGGACTTGAGCCATCGACATCGGCGCCCGCTTCGGCAGCTGGCCAAGAGCCGATGGAGCTTGAGACTGGCGCAGCAGGTCCCGCCAGCTCGGCACAAGCGACCGAACCGGTTCCGGTCGACGATGAGGCGCCTTTGGTGCCCGCACGGGTACCTGATGGCGATCTGAGTGCGCCACCGTCAGCCGACGAGCTGCAGGCACACTTTGACGACTTTTATGAGGATGTGTACCTTGAGATGGCAAAGTGCGGCAAGGTGCTCGAGCTCCACACCGCCGCCAACGCGACCGAGCACCTCGCAGGCAACGTGTACTGCATGTTTGCCACCGAAGACGCCGCAGATCGCGCCGTCGCCCTTTTCCATCGCCGCTTCTTTGCAGGCCGCCAGCTGAAGTGCGAGCTCTCGCCGGTCACCGACTTTGCCGAGGCCAAGTGCAAGGAGCTCAGCCTCGGCCGCTGCAACTATGGTGTCTCGTGTAACTTTCTCCACATGCGCTACCTCTCGCCTGACGCCGCCCTCGACGTCCACGGCCGCCGTCCACCTGCCACCTTTATCATCGGCGATGACGATCCGCGCGGCCGCGGCGGTCACGATCGCGGTGGCTACGACCGTGGCGGCTACGACCGTGGCGGCTACGACCGTGGCGGCTACGACCGTGGCGGCTACGATCGTGGTGGCTACGATCGTGGCGGTTACGACCGGAACCGCGACCGTGACCGTGACCGCGACCGTGACCGTCACAGGGGCTATGTTGGCGATCGCGGCAGCCACGGCGGTGGTGGCTACCGCGACCGCGACCGCGGCTCCCGTGGCGGCTACGATGACTACGGCGACCGCGGAGGTCGCGGTGATCATGACCGTGGAGACCGTGGAGACCGTGGAGACCGTGGAGACCGGGGCGACCGGGGCTCTCACCGGTACTGATAATGAAAGCTGCGCCCAGCATCCCGCGAATGCTTGCTTGCTACCCCTGGCGTCGCCACTCGGGCGAGAAGCATCACGAAAAGGTCGTGAGACCTTTGCAGGCGCCAGTCGAGGGTACTTGACCCAACCCTCTGCAGACAAGCTATCGCTCCCAGACTCGCCGCTACTGTCGCCGCGAGTTTGCGTCACCTCTCCCCTCCTACCATGTTCTTGGGAACATTGCCGGCTCATGTGCCCGCTTTACTCTCCTGCGGCCTGTGTGACAAAGTCTGCCGCGGTCCCCAAGCCGTGGCGCAGCATCTGATCGACGTCCACAGCAGGGCGACAAGGAGGTGTGTACTTTGTGGAACAGGACTAGATGGCCAAGCCGACGCAGCCCACCACTTTGTGGACCATGTCAATAAGCTGCTCGGCCTCTCATACACCCTCGATACTGCCCTCAAGGTCACCACACCCGACGAAGAGACAAGCTTAGTCTGCAGCTGCGGTGCTGTGGTGGGGTCAGCCATGCTCGCCGACCACAAGTCGTCGTGCTCGGGCAAGTGGAACTACGCAGCCATGTTTGAGGCACTCTCGCAAGTCGGGCCTGTCCTCATTCGCTACGCAAATGACTCGAACGTCTGCTTCTCCTGCGGCCGCTCATTCCGTACCCGTGACAAGCTCGTCTCCCATTGCAGGGCGGTGGGGCATTCTACCAACAACTTGTCGCCACGCGATGAAAGCGCTGCCGACGCTGCAGATGCCGCCGCCAACGCTGCTGCTGCCCGCAACGTCGGTGCTACGCGCAGCAAGGGGGTTAAGTCCAAGAAGAAGCCTGCATGCAAGGCTACGTCGCCGCCGCCAGCGGCTGTCGACACTAACTCTGCGCCCGGCTATCCATGCACGGCATGCGCGGGTGTGTTCCCGACCAAATCGCAGATGGAAAAGCACATTTCTGCCGTTCATCGCGAGCTCCATTGTGTGCCATGCGGCCGGTTTTTTGCCACAAGGGCGTACCGCGAGCAGCACGACCGCGACAAGCACCGCGAGAGCTCGGCCGACGCCGAGGATGCAGGCGCCAGCGCGGCTAGCGCGGTACCCGTGTTCTCAGGTGACGCCAATGGCTTTGTGTGTGCCTTCTGCCAGCACAGCTTCAACAATGCGATCCAGCTGTTCCAGCACTTGACCTCGACCGGGCACGACAAAGAAGTTGTCGACGAGCGCTTGCCGTACCAAGACGAACGGCCACGGTCTGCAATCTCAACGCCGCAGCATGTTTGCCGCGAGTGTGGGCAGGCGTTCGCCAATGGCTCGATGCTCGAGCGGCATCTCGACCGGGTTCATCCGGACTTGGCGGCGCAGGACGAGGCCGATCTCCGCGCAGCGGCGATGCGGGCCACGCATACCTGCTCGTGCGGACGCGACTTTCCCTCCCGCGCCGCGCTCATGCAGCACTCGCGGTCGTCTGGCCACAACCGTGGCCGGTCGACATTTGCCACTGCGCCGACCGCCATGTCGAGCGCTTCCCCGCTGTCTCAAACGGCGACTCTGCCGCCTGCTGTGGCCGGCCCTATCTGCAACCACTGTGGAATCCGGTTTGCCAACCACGATGCGCTCGATGACCATGTCCTCGAGGTGGTGCTCGAGCGCTCGCGTGCGGCCGCCGCCGCCGCCGAAGAGGAGGAGCGCAAGTTGGAGGTCGAGCGCCAGGCCGCCGCACGCGCGCAGGTACAGGCGCGAGCCGCGCAGGCCGCTGCTCGTGCGCAGGCACAGGCACAAGCCGAGGCACAAGCTCGAGCCGAGGCCCGCGCCCGCGCTGCACAGGCGCAGGCCGAGGCACAACTCCAGGCGAGGGCCCAGTCCCAGTCCCAGTCCCAGTCCCAGTCCCGCGCTTCTTTTGGTGGACTCTCCGGCCTCCACACCCGGGTGCAGCCCGAGCCATCGAGTGCGCCAGCCGGCATGGGCCTTTCGGGCCTCGCCATGCAGATACGGACCGGCAGCAGGGCGCAGGCACCGAATGGCGGCGGTGGCCTGGTGGGTCTCTCGGGCTTGGCCAGCCTTGCACAGCAGTCGGGCCAGGGGGGAGCAAGCGCCACCGGCGGTGGTGGTCTTGGGGGCTTTGGTGGCCTCTCTGGCCTCGCCGGCCTCGCCGGAGGCGCCGCCGCCTCGCCAGCGTCGAGCTCCGCCTTTGGAGGTCTTGCGGGCGGCTTTGGCGGCCTTGCGGGCGCAAGCGGCCTCGCGCTGGGGGCGGCCTTGCGGGCGCAAGCGGCCTCGCGGCTGGGGGCGGCCTTGCGGGCGCAAGCGGCCTCGCGGCTGGGGGCGGCCTTTGCGGGCGCAAGCGGCCTCGCGGTTGGGGGCGGGCCTTGCGGGCGCAAGCGGCCTCGCGGCTGGGGGCGGCCTTGCGGGCGCAAGCGGCCTCGCGGCTGGGGGCGGCCTTGCGGGCGCAAGCGGCCTCGCGGCTGGGGGTGGCCTCGCCGGCTCAAGCGGCCTCGCGGCTGGGGGTGGCCTCGCCGGCGCAGGTGGCCTCGCCGGCGCAGGTGGCTCGAGCTGGTCTGGTCTCGCAGGCCTTGGCAGCGGAGCTGGGGGTGCCGGGGCGGGCGCCAATACGGGCACCGGTCTCGTCGGCCTGATGGCGGCGGTGGGTGGTGGCAGTGCGGCGGCAGATGCGTTGAGCGCGGCAAGTCCCCCAGGTATTGCGAGCGGACTCCATGCGAGCTCCTTGCACACGAGCGGATTCGACAACAGCGGCGGTGACAATGATGACGACGACGACGATGATGATGAAGATGAGCTGTTCTGGGGCTCGGTTTCGGACGAAGACGAAGTTTTGCTCGAACCGTACTCGCCCGAGTCCAAGCAGGCGGCCGCCGCCATGCCGCAGGCGGCAGCGGCGGTTGCCACTACGGCTGGGAGCAGCGGCATCGCAACGGCTATCCGCGCCATGCATGTCGACGAGAACCCGTGGGGTGGTGCGCCACCAACGTGGGAAGCGACGGCGCTCCATTGCTGCGGAAAGGAGTTTGCCACGCGCATGGCACTTGAACAGCACATGCGCGACTCGAAGAACCATCCCGAGTTTCGTGTCGTGAGCAGTGCCGGCACGGCAAACAGCTCGCCCGCGTCCGTCACAGCTGATGGCGAGTACGAGTGTCCTCAGTGCGGCAAGGCGTTTGCAGAAGAGCGGTACATGCGGCAGCACGAGCGCGATACACACTCTGCTGCGGCGCAGGCTGCGTGCTCCGTGTGTGGCAAAACGTTCAAGGCGATCCAGTACCTGCAGCAGCACCAGCGCGATGCGCACTTCATGTCGACAATGCCCAAAGTTGCCGAGAGCAGCAAGACGTCCAAGACGACCAAGAACCTGCCACAGCACCAGCGCGACTTGCATCAGGGAACACCAAAGTACGAGTGCGGTGTGTGTGGCAAGCGGTTCAAGGCACCCAACTACCTGGGGCAGCACCAGCGCGACATGGGCCACACCGCCGCGACGCAATCGGCCGGTGTCTCGTCACTCGATGTTCTCCAGGCGCTGGTGTGCACGCGGTGCGGACTGGCTACGTCGTCCATGGCCGAGCTCCGGGCGCATATCAAGAGTTGCAATCAGTGAAAGTCATTGACACGGCCCGCAGTTTACGTTTGGGGAGAAAGAAGTGAGGGGGCAGTGGGGAGGGCGAGGTTGGGAAGCTCAGACAAGTCGTTACTCGGCAACAATCTCACCGTCGGCGCTGCCGCTCTCGAAAGGGGCGTGCTTCTCGTCGATGTGGATGTCGAGTGCGGTCTGCGAGGCAAACTTGCGGTAGCACGAGGGGCAGGGGAGGCCAGCAGCGCGGTCGTCGAGGATGATGACTCCGTCGTGGTCCACAGCGCCGTGGTGGCGGTTGATGCCGTGGCGCGAGCCAAAGACGCGGTCACAGGTCTCGCAGACGTAGGCAGCGCCGCCAGCAGGCTCATCGGCATGGCCGGTGACGTGCAGATGGCGGGCGAGGCCGCGGGCCGAGACGCAGACCTTCTCGCAAGCGTGGCACTCGTACGGGCCGCCGTCGTCGACGACGGCCGGGGCAAAGGCGGCCACGCCCTCACCCGTGTGGCCCTTGGCCTGCTGGTGGCGCTCGAGGCCGCGGGACGAGACCAGGGCCTTACCGCATGAGCAGACGTAGGCGCCGACAGGGGCGTCAGCGTTGGCGCCGCCGTCGGCGCTGGCGTCGTGGCCAGTGGCCTCGCAGTGGCGCTCGAGGCCGCGGGCAGAGGCAAAGGAGCGTCCGCAGGCGCCGCAGGAGACGGTGAGCGCCTGGGCGGCATGCGGGGTCAAGGTCATGCCCTCATGGCCCTTGGCTTCCTGGTGGCGCGAGAGGCCATGCTCCGTGGCAAAGCCACGGTCGCACTCGGCACAGAGGTACGATCCGCCCGAGCCCTGCTGACGGCCACGCGAGCGACGGGCGCCCCCCGAGGCAGCAGCCTGCGGAAGCTCGGCGACGTCGAGAACGGGACCCTCTGCGTGGCCCTTAGCCTCGCAGTGGCGGCTGATGCCGCGGGGCGAGGCAAAGGTGCGCGGGCACTCGGCGCAAGTATAGGGGCCACCGGTGGGGCCGTTCCTCCGAGAGCGGCGGCGAGGTGCAGCACCAGAGCCCGAGCCTGTGACATCAGACCCATCGCCGTGCTTGGCAGCCGTGTGGCGGGTGAGGCCCTGCGCAGAGGCAAAGGACCGGTCGCATTGCGGGCACTGGAACTCGAGGTCGTCGTACACGTCCATGATGGGGTGGAGGTGGAGGGGAAGGGTGGGGGGGGGGGGGGGGGGGGGAGGGAGGGGAGGGGAGGGTGGAGGGAGGAGGGAGGGAGGAGGCGGGGTAGGGGGAGGGGGTCGTCCGGAGTAGT